CATCAAATAAATAAATAAATAAAAATTTATTTTTCTAAAATAATTGAATTTCGGAAAAGAATTTTATTATTTATAAAGATACTTGAAATTTTGATAATAATTTTTAAAAAATTTTTAAACACAATTGAATTTCAGCGAAGAATTTTATTATTTATATAAATAATTGAATTCTTGCAACGAATTTTATTCAATATCAAGTTTATAAAAATAAGGTAAAGGTCCCAATTATGGGACAATTTACAATTTTGTCCCTATTATGAGACAGTATTACAAAAAATAAAATAAATGCAATTAAAATTGGTCATAAGAAATTTCTACTTATTTCAAAAAATTTTACACGTTAAAAGAATAATTATTTGTGTATAGCATTTAATTTAATAAGAAATGTTTATTTGCATTTTAGCTTTTAAATTAAGGTAAGCCAAGTTTTTCGTCAGACTACCGTCCCACATTAGGTGCACTTATTATTTGCTATCCCTATTATGAGACACACAGGAAATATACAGCAAACATAACCTCAAATATTTTCAGTTTTTTCGCATTAATTTTCTACCAGAAAAATTAGTTTTATAATTATTTTTTAAACCAGAATTTGTTTATTGTATTTTATTCTTTATAATTAATATTCAAATTATTAGGATAAGTCAATAGAATTCTAATTACTTATTGAATTAAATAAATGTCTCATAATAGGAACATTCATTATGGGACACCCGTACATACAGAAATCATAGTCCCATAATTAGTGCAGTGCAGAGTTTCATAATTTAATTAATATTATTTTTATTTCATGAAAAATAACCATTTTAGGGTCTAAATATTATTCATAACATATCAATCTTTCAATCTATACCCTAATTATTCATATTAACACTCCCGATTAACACTCCCAACGAATTTAATAAAAATCTTTTTAAATAAATGATATTTTTCAAAAAATTTTATGAAATTTTATATTTTAAATAATTGAATTCCTGTGAAAATTTTATTACTTATGAAAATAATTGAATTATTTCAAAGAAATTTATTTAAAATTTTGTAAATAATTGAATTCCTGTGAAATTTTGCCAAGAATTTTATTAAAATTTTTTAAAATAATTGAATTTCGAAGAAGAATTTTATTATTTATAAAGATAATTGAAATTCTGCGAAGAATTTCTATAACTTTTGAAAATAATTGAATTTTGTGGAATCATTTGCAACCTTTGCAAACTTCAATTTTTTTAGTACTTTTAACTAAAAATTCTTCTATCAATCTAGTATTTATTAAAATTGTAAAAATTATTCATAAATAATTTTATTAATTTTCAATCAAATTTACTCTGGGAATAATGATTTTTAATACCAAAATTTACTATTTTCAATATCAATTTTTTTTGTTTTATAAAAATTATTCAAATTTTCCTAGAACATTACAATTAGCTATTAAATATACTTATTTCTAGAGTAAATTTTACTATTTTTGAAATATATTTTTCTAATTTTTATAAAAAAAAATTGCCTTTGAAAATAGTAAAATTTATTCTGGATATAACAATTTTTAATATTAAATTTTACTTTTTTTCTTGTATTTCATGTAATTTTAAAACAAAAGTAAAATTTACTTTGGTAATAGTTGACTCGGAAAGGCGCAGAAATTTGTTATTAAAAATTTACTAAAACTTACTTCACAAGTAGTAAAAAATACACAAAAATTTCAGCCAATTTAGCTTTTGGTTTATAAATATTAAAATTTACTCACTTTATTTTGTTCATTCCAAAAACTCTGTTGAAATTTTCAAATTACTAAAAACAGAAACAAAATCTGACTCTATAGACAATTTTTGAATTACATTTAAAAAAAAAAAAAAATAATAATTGAATTTCTTGCCTGTTTGCACAAGTAAGAATAATATTTTGTTATACCACGATTAAAATATTTTTCCAAGTGAAAAATCAAGAGAATAAATCATTTTTTTGATTCTTTTATGATACTCTGATAATATCTCGTTTTCACATCTTTACGTCTGCGAATTAATAAATGCATATATTCAATATGCAGGTGCTATATAATTTTTTTTCTACTTCTTTATTGATTCATTAATAATAAACTTGTAAGTTTTAGTTTAGACTTTCCAGAAAATTCAACTATAATCGTACGAGAGTTTATCATTGTTTAAAATATTAAAAATAGATGCACAAAAAACTGGTTGTCTCAATAGAACAATATAAATTCATGAAGTTGGTGTATTCACAGAGGTCTGTGTATTTGTATAAATTACAATTTTATACCGTGTTACCATTATACGTGTAATCCACAAAAACATTTTTTTTAATCCACAATACAATATTATCAGATTTATTTATTTATTTAAATAACAAAGTATTTATTTATTTATTCGTGAATAATTCCGGGAAAATTCAAAATATTATTACTTTTATTCTGCATATACAATTTTTTTAAAAACAAAAACGCTTTCTTCACTCTTTAAACAATGAACTTCAAAACAAACTTCCTCAGTATTTTTTAGTTTTATCAAAAAAAAAAAAAAATTTTAATTTTGACTATTTTCCCTAAAAAAATGAAAATTCTTTTTCATATTATTGGATTATAATTATCTGTCATTAGCTAATTGTCTATTTTCTCTAAAAGTCTAAAATCGATTAATTTGGAAAAAATTTTCAAAATATGTTTTTGTTTTGTAGAAAAAAGTTTTTTTTGTATACTATAAGAATTTTCTGATTCATCAGTCGAAAATGAATTACGAATTTACAATTTTAAATATAGACATTTTAATTATCATGTCTCAATTATTTTACAGATTTCATTTCCGATTTAGCAATTTTCGAATTTAATTTCATCGAATAATCAGTGATTTAAATTAAAGATTATTATTTTTTTAAATAATCGAAGTTACCATTTTATATAATTAGGAATTATCAGTGAAAATCTATTTTGTCTCGAATTATTTAAATCCAAGATTGAAACTTTCAATTATAAATTTATAATTCAAAAGTTTAATTTGTTAATACCCAGTTAAAAATATTTTTTACCAAAGTAATATATAGTTTTCTATTATTTATTAACTAATTAATTGCTATTTTTTATTTTCAAAATTATTTTCATTTATTCAATTATTCAATTATTTACAAAAAGTTTTAATAAAATTCCTTTGAAGAAATTCAATTATTTTCAAAAATTTTAATGAAATTCTTTAGAAGAATTCTGTTAATTTTAGAACAATTTTTATTTTATTGCTTGGAAGAATTTAAATATTTTGAAAAGTTTTTAATAAAATTCTCCGAAGCAATTCAATCATTTTCAAACATTTTAATAAAATTTTATTAAAAATATTATTATTTATTTTAATAAATACGCGAGAATTAAATTATTTTAGATTTGAATTTATAATTTAAATAAATTAGGATGAAATTTTTTTAAATCCACTTTTATGATCACAAAATTATGGAAAATAATATAATTTCTAAATTTTTCATGTAAATTTTTTTTTACAATATAAATAAGCAAATAATAAATCTGAATTAGTAAAAATTTTAGTTTATTAGAACGAAAGCGATATGAAATTTCTGAAAATTAATTTTTTAATTTTACATAGAATAAAACATAAAAATAAATAAAATTTAGTGTTTTTTTTATAAAATAAATACCGTATTTTGCGGTTATAAAAATTAGTTTTTCTACAATTATTAATAAGTAACTGTTAAAATACTAAATTTTTAGATTTTGGCCTAAAGAATGAAAAATAATATTATATTTGAAATGCAAAAAACTTAATTCTTAAGTTATTAATAATGAAATAAAAATTTGAATAGTAAAAGTAATTGTTTTGTTTATTATCTACTTTTAATTTAATAAAGTCGGAAAATTTATTTTTCGCTTTTTGTAATTTTCTTTAAACAAATGTCAGTGAATTTATGCAAAAAAAAACATTTCTTACAGATCTAACTGTAAATTATGTAATTTTAATGAGCTCTCAAAAGGAAAAGAAACAACAAGAGACTATTTATTATTGTATAATACTTTTTTCTTCTCAAATCAATTTAATAATCAATTTATACTTTCTTGATAGAATTGCAAAATAAATATTAAATATTGAAAACAAAAATTAATTTCGATCTTGTTAAAAGAGCTTGAAAAAAAAATTTTTTCAAGGAAAAGGTGCTGGACAAATGCTTTTGACGACCTCCTTGTAGACCTTGAACCACTGACGTCAGTGAAGTCGTGGTCAGTTCATAATGACTCTTTTGGTCAGTTCCTCTCAATGTTTTTCAGTCAAAATAACGATAGACTAAAAAGTATATAATTTTTTTCGTCTTTGAATTGAAGAAAATTATATCAAATTGACAATATTTTTCTTTTTTCAATAATTTTTAATTCTTTAAAAAAAGAGAAAAAAAAATAAGAAAACTTTTTTTAGTTGAAAATTTTTTTTCATCTCTGAAAATAAATTGTCTCATACAAGGAGAAGCAGATAGAGGTTTTCATTACACTTTGGAAATTGCAAGTTTCTGGCTGATACGAACCAATCTAGAAGAAAAAAAAGAATGATTGATAAACTGCAAAATACCAGCTCAGATAAGACAGATGTTTATATTTAGAAATCAACTTATAAGTCGAAGAATGCTTTTACAAGTGGACGATGTTACCTTGCTTTGTCTTTTATGCAATAAAATATGAATATAAATGATTTGATTAAAAAATGAAATCAACGATCTAATCAGACTTGAATTCTTTCTTTAATTTCAAAAAGGCACTGAATTTCTTTTCGTTCTTTAGTTTAATCCGAACGTTAATTTACGAAAAATATTTTTCTTCTGTAAAATTTCCTATAAATTCTATAGATTTTCTCGATTTTCTATAAATTCTGTAGATTTTTTTTTATAAATTCTGTAAATTGGAAAAAAGATTTTTTTTGTACTTTATTTAAAAAAAAAAAAAATGAAGAAAAAATATTTGACAATTCTTGATTGTATATTGAAATAATTTTCTTTGTTTGCAGGAAATAACGCAGGTGGCGTATCGTCTACGGTGACGGGAACAATAACAAGAAGTTCAGTGACTTCGAATAATCGAACTCACTCTAGTCGAAGGACAAGTCATCAGCGTCATCAACATACTCAACAACAGCAGCAACAATCGTCTGTTCCGTTGACATCATTCAACGGCCTTATCACCAGAAATTCGGATGATCTGGCCATTAGGACTAATTCAACACAGGACATTTGTGACAATTCAAATGATTCTGGCCTCGGATTCGAGGAACGACAGCAATTGCTGAATAAAGTTTCTGTAAGTTCGGATTACCACGTAAAAACTGAATTCTTATCAGTAAATTAAATTTCCCCCTTTATCAAATTTAAATCAAACAAGAATTTTTTAATTTAAATACTTTTATTCTTCGAATTACTCGAAAGAGAAAAAAAAATATTTCTCGAAAATCAGTCCTAAACGGAAATCTTTAGCCATGAGAAAAATTATATAGAGGAAATTGCCAAAAAATCGATAATGCAGATAAAAAAACACGATTTTCAAGAATTCTCGAAAATGAATTCGGCTTGAAATAATTAGCTAAAACAATTTTTTTTTTGAGAGAGAGAGTAATCATTAAAATTATCTAAGCTGAAAAGAAAGATTATTAACTGCAAAATAATCGCAGGTTATCAGTTGTATGATTACAATACCAAGGAGAAGTCTTTCTCTTTATCAAAGATTATCTCTCAACAAAATGACGATATGTATTTTTCTTATCATAATTATCACAGTGGCGCTCAACAAATCTCGTTCTTTGTTTACACAAAAAAAATTGAAGATGATGATGATATCAAACTTTTTATCATCCCTCAAAAAAAGAAAGAAAGAAAGAAAGGAATACATTTACAAGACTCTATTAAACATTTCTTAAGAATTCAATTAATTGCAATTTGAATTAGATTTTACTCAATCCGAAAATAATCAGATGAAAATACATATAACCGGATATTTGCAAAACTCGCTACTATAATTAAATACAGTTTGCCTAATGAGGTCAAAGTTTAAGATAATAGAATATCATTGTCTCCGTCTCTAAAAGCTTCGATTTTCATTCATATTATTCTTTAGATTTTCTAATTATAATTTTCCCGATGAATAATCTTTTTATGTTTCTTTATTTAAATGTTTAAACTTTAAAGGGATTGCTCATGTATTTAAGTTATTTGTTTATTTATTTATTCATTTATTTATTCATGTCTTCACTTAATTGCAAATTTATTTATTTACTTATTTATTTGTTTGTTCATTCTATTATTTTTTTATTTATTTACTCACTATGCAAATATTACACGCAGATGTTAAAGATTCAATATTAAAAAAATTCATTTTTTAGCTAATTAATTATTATTACTTACAATTTTTCAAAATACTGATTGAAATATTGATTGAACAATTAAATTGTTTTCAAAAATTTTATTAAAATTCTTGGCGAAAATTGAATTATTTTCATAAATAGTGAAATTCTTTTCATGAATTCAATTATTTTAAAATAATTTTTCATAGGAATTTAATGATGTTTAATACAATTTAAATGAAATGAATATAACTACGAATTCTCGAAAGAATTGCAGTATTTTCAAAAAAAATTTTTTTAATTTGTCGACAGAATTTATTTATTTAAAAAAATGTTGACACAATTCTTTAGAAGAATTTTATTATTTTCCGTACAATTTTTATTAAATTGCTCGAAAGAATTTAAATTTTCATCGAAACAATTAAATTTGTATTTTTACAAATTTTATTATTTTCATAAATAAGTAATAAATATTCGAAAGAATTCAATTATTTTAAAATAAATTTTGGTAGGAATTTTATTAGTATCAATACAATTTTAACTGAATTCCTGGGAATATAATTATTTGGAATACAATTTTACTAAAGTTTCTTGAAAGAATTTAATTACTTTCAATAAAAATTTTAATAAAACTCTTCATGAGAACTCAATTATTTTCCAAAATTTTGATAAAATTTTTTAAAAGAATTCACTTAATTATAAATTTATTTATTTACTTATTCATTTATTTATTTATTCATTTAAAAAAATTTTTTTATTCGTTTGTTCTATTTGTAAAGTAATTATTATTCGTAAATACAAATTTAAAATTTCTTTTCCCAAATTTTCAAGTATTTTTAAATCACCCGGCAAGTAGTTTCTAATATTTTTTTAATACTTCGATTTCCATCTTTCTTTCTTATCTTGGCTTACAATTACTGATAATGCTAATGAAAGCATAATTAATTTCACAGTGAGAAAAAGAAAAATCTGAAATCTAGATAAAAAATACTTTTACTTATTGAGTATTATCTGCTACATAATTAAATAAATAAAATAATGAATAAAAAAATGAACATTGTTTTTAAATAAATTATTCGGGGCAATTTTTTGTAAATTACTTTTTTAAGTTTTCTAAATTTTCTTTCTTCTTTTTATGTCTTTTTTATGAACTCTTTTAATGTTGTAAATTACGAAAATGTTGAAGCAATCGTTTTGTTTGTCATTAATTTTTTTTCGGCGTCAATTTGTTTTTAGCCTATAACGAGACTAAAATTATTAATTGAGATGCAAAAAAAAAAAAAAAAAATTCTGCGAGAGAAGAAAAAATAAATTTTTGTCTTTGTAACAAAATGATTTACAATGAAACTATTTTCAGTATTGAACACTCATGTTATAAATGAAGCTTTACGTAGACGTCTTTAAAAATGTACAATCAGTGATTCCCGACATACATGCTCTTATCTATATGCGTAGTTGCAAGCGATTTCGCAAGTGATTCTACATATGTAGGACTTTGAGGACTGCCGCGCTGGTTCAACGGTAGTTGAACTCAAACGATATGCCTCATATAATATAGGTAGTTGGGCAAATGAGTTTGATTAAATGCTATTTATAAATAAGACAAAAACACAAGTACATACGAAAAAATATTTTTTTCTTTTTGCTTTTTTCACTTCTTCTTCTTTTTTGAGAATTAATTTGAATTAATTGCCTGTAGCAGGTTTGGAACGGTGTCGGTGAAGAGGATTCAAAGAGGAGGAAAATGGACATTAAACTCGAGTCAGAGGACGCGAATTTTGCCTTTCCTGAAGTTGCACCGGGTTCAGCGCAGGAGACAAAAATTTCAGCGACGAGAAACGGTATAAATGGCATTGGCAATGCAATCACACGTACGGGAAATGGCGCAGCCGGGACCATTGGCAGAATTGTTGGAATCACAAGACCACGTCCGGCAATTGGTGTCCTTACAAAAAGGCCACCCATCAATCACCAAGGTCCTGTCACCCTCACTTCTCAGCTTTGTATGTATTTTTGTAGTTCACATTCATTTCTTTACAACTCTGGATACTTACAAGTTTGCTGAAAACAATTGTTAAATTTTTTTTTCTTTAACAAAATAGTATACAATAGTGTACAATTAATTTTATACTATTGTTTTCTATTTTTCTAGAAGAAAACAAAACTAATCATTGATATTAAAATACATTTTAACGTATATTCGAAAATATTTGGAATTCACGAAATGATCGAATGGAATTTAATTAATTCAAGGTTGTCACAGGGGGGGATTTTATCAAAAATACTGGAAGAAGAATCATTTTTATAGAATTTGTTCAAAAATTTAGCTTTTGTTATTGAAAACGATTTTTGAAAAATTCAAAAACCTTGAATTCTTTCTGAACTTTTTTTTCACTTTAAAAACATTTTTTAATGATTCACAAACTTTGAACGTTCAAATGAACGAAATTTTTTGTTTTAAAAATATTTTCACAAATTATTCATTGCAAATGAAAATTAAAAACTTAAATTTAACATTTAGAAACTTTATAATTAATTTTTTTAATAGCGCCGCAAAATAATTGTAATGAAAATTTATCTTGAAAAAGAAATAAATAAATTTCTTTCCTTTAAACGTTCACAATTATTTTTCATAATCATAATTAATTTTGAGACAATATCTCGATTTTTTCTTATTCCAGTAAATAATTAAATTCTGCCAAAAATTTGTCCAAGTCATTATTATAATCAAGTTAAAAAAACTGTACTTAAAATCAATTCCAATTTCCAGTAATAATCGAATTTATAATTCAGAAGTTTTGATCGTTCAAATGAACGAACATTTTTTATTATAAATATTTTTATAAATTACTAATTGCAATTCAAATTATAAACTGAAATTTAACTTTTAGAAACTTTAAAATTAATTTTTTTTACAGTGCCGCAAAATTATAGTAATTGAAATTTAATTTGAAGAAGAAATAAATAAATTTCGTTCATTTAAACGTTCAGAACTGTAGAATCATTTGAATTTCAGAAAATTATAAACAAAATTTTTGAAAATTTGAATTTTTGTGAAGAAAATAATAATTTAATAATTGTTTAAAATATTATTTATATTTTAAATAATTTTATTTAAAATTCTGCCAAAAATTAGGTTTCTTGAGACATTTTAAATCAATTTTTTAAAAATACTCGAATTTTTAAAAATTATTTATTAAACAAATTTAATTTTATTAGCTATTTAATTGTTTAATTTAATAAAATTTATTTTTATTTTGTAAAATGTAATGAAAATAATTCAATTTGTAAAAAAAATTGCATTAGATATTTAAAGGAAAAAGGAATATTCCAGGAATTTCTGTTTAGTAATTGCTAATAGTTTGAATTTTGCAAAGACTTAGAATTGAATGTTTTATTTTATGTTTATTAAAAAATGCCTTCTCATGTGATGAGAATGTAAGAAAGCAGCATTAAAAGGTCCAAATTTTATGTAAAACTATTTCGAAAGAGTTACAATTTTTATTAATTAGTTAATTCTAAAAGATTTAAATATTTAATTTTCTCTAAAAATTAAAGTTTCGACAAATTTTATTTAAAATTATGAAAAATTAATTTTTCTTAAAAATTTTAGTTCTATTTCTTAAAGATAATTGAATTTTAATAAAAAAAAGTAAGTGGGATTTTTTTGAAATAATTGAAATTTCCTAAAATTCTGTTAAAAATTATTGAATTTTTTAAAGAAAAATTTGAAAATAATCGAGGAAAGTTCGTCACAATAATTTAAAATTAAATATTTGCTTCTAAATATTATCTTTTTTATTTATCTTTTTAAAAGATAATTGAATTTTAATATAAAAAAGTAAGTGGGATTTTTTGAAATAATTGAAATTTCCTCAAATTCTGTTAAAAATAATTGAATTTTTTAAAGAAAAATTTAAAAATAATCGATGAAAGTTCGTCATAGTAATTTTAAATTAAATATTTGATTCTAAATATTATCTTTTTTTTTATAATTGAACTCCCCTTGGATGTTCTTTTATAGGAATTAGAAGAAAAGTCGAAATCAGGGAAAAACAAAATCAAATTTTTGTGGCAAAACTGTAATTGAAATATTCCAATAAATGAAATTTGCTTGGAAAAAAATAGATTTTTACTAAGCAGGAAAATTTCCCGCATTCTAGATTTTCTAACACAAATTTTTCAATAACTTTTATTAACTTGTTGGAAGCAAACTTGTTAATATTTTCATTAAGAGCGGTAAAAAAGATTCTCGAAAAGGATTCTCGTAAACAAACACTTTAAATTGGTAATTTATAGAAATACATACTTAATATTTTTAATTCTTGTTAGATTAGTCGGTGTCTCTTGAATGTTTCTATTAACACTTGTAAAGCAACCATTTTCATCATTTTTCTCATTTAGGTGTAATTTATTTTCTCTATTTGCATTTTTAACTTCAATTTTTATTTTTATTATTACTATTATTTAATTATTTTCAGTAGAATTATCTTCTATCGAAAAAATCACTCTAGACGGTATGAAATCACTCTCTTTTGAATTAAACCACTGTTGGAAATTAATTTCGATTTATAATAAATCATTTTGTAGATTGATAGAAGAATTACATTTCTAAATAAACATCTTCTTATTGTAAATCTACTATTATTAGATCATTTCTGCTTTTAATAGACTAATTTTATTATTTTGCTTGAAGAAAAATTTTTATATATGCTTTAAAAATATTTCATGGAAAATTTAATAAAGAATGTAGACTAAAGAGCTTAAAACGAAGTTTAAAGAGCTTATTTCTTAAAACGAAATAAACAGCAAAGTCCCAAAAAAGTCGAGAAAGAATATAAGAAATATTTTTCAGTATAGATGTTGTACTTCAGCATGAGAGTGTGAATCAAGAAAATTCAAATGCATTATTAAACTTCAAGCAGTAAGTCATGGTTCTTAAAATTACTCAACTATGTTCTAATATAAAAACAAATTGCAACGAAAATAAAAGTCAGAAAGTTAAGATTATCGAAATTGTGATTAATTTATTCTTAAATAGAATGCATAGGACTCTTGCTGCTTTGAATAGTTTCAACCTTATTTATAATTTAAAGAAAAAAAAGAACTACAAAAATAATTTTCATACAAATAATATATATTAATAATGCTAACAATTTAATTATTAATTTTTAAATTATTCCATCAATAATTAATCAATTGATAATTTTGCACAATTGGAAAATTCTTATTGCAATCTGATGCCCATAACTTCTTCTGGAAGCGAAACATTTTTCATGAAAACTTTTTATTTCCTTATGGCTCTCTTTGTTTCATTAATGTGAACAGTTTAAAATTGAAAATTTAATGATTAAAATGTTTCATTTACAGGCAGTATATCTAGAGATGGAAAGACACAATTGCAAATAATTTGTCAGCCGGAGCAACAGCACAGAGCACGTTATCAAACTGAGGGCTCACGTGGAGCAGTGAAGGATCGTACTGGAAATGGATTTCCAATTGTTCGCTTGGTGGGTTATGAAAAGCCGGCGACACTTCAAGTTTTCATTGGTACTGATCTTGGACGCGTTGCGCCACATATGTTTTATCAAGCATGTCGCGTGAGTGGGAAAAATTCAACACCATGTGTTGAACGTAAACTTGATGGAACAATAGTGATTGAAGTGGACATGGATCCCGCTAAAGATATGATTGTTACTTGTGATTGTGTTGGTATTCTTAAAGAGAGAAATGTCGATGTTGAACACAGGTTTCCCCAGGAAGCTGGCGTTTTACAAGGTCGTAGCAAGAAGAAATCAACACGTTGTCGTATGGTCTTCCGTACAACAATCACTCATCCCGATGGTTCCTCAGAAACATTACAAGTCTGTTCACAGCCAATTGTCTGCAGTGAGTGACAAAATTTATCTATTTTTATTTACAACTCACTGTCTTCGACGAGTATAATATTCAGATTTTTTAAATTTCTAAAAACTGTATTATAGTCTGACTAATTTCAATTAAACTTACACTATCTACAAAAATTATATAAATGCAACTTCTTTAATGCTATGAAGAATTGTTTATTTTTTAAAAGGTGTTAATTCACAGATTCTCTCTAAGCCACTGTAATCTATTATAATTTTTTGAAAACTAAGCCTCAAACAAAACAAGTTTATTAATTTTCAAGAAACATCAACCAAGTTCTTAAGCTTGTCTTGGTTTATTCAAAATTAACATAATTTCTGAAATAATTTCATTTTCGGTCAAATTCCCGAAGCCAAATTCCCAAAATCTAAATTTCTCGAATATACAATTTTCCTCAAATTTTGGATTCGGGAATTTGATCTGGAATCGTTTTTTACTTATTTTAAAAGTAAATTTTCATTTTATTCAAATCGTTAAGTTATTATAAAGAGATAATTTTTCGCAAAAATATGCCACTTTTGCAAGTTGATTAAAGGAATTTGACAGAATCTTATGATTATTTTCAAAGGTAAACTACTTTTTAAAGTTATCCAAATATTTTTTATAAATATAAAATAATATTATTAAGTATTTATTTTTTAAGTTATTAAATGTTCTTTTTCTATTGAACAGAGCTCGAACTAGGCCCGTAAATGTCCATAAATTTGTTTGATGTCCGTAAAAGTTAGTATTTAAAAAAAACGTCCGTAATTTGTATATTTAATTATTTATTAAAAATAATGGATTTATAAAAGAATTTTAGTTAAAAGCACTAAAAAAATTGAATTTTGAAGAAGTTACAAATGATTGCAGAAATTCAATTATTTTCAAAAGTAATAAAATTCTTCGCAAAAATTCAATTATGTTAAAATTTTTTTAAAAATACTGTTCAAAATTTCAATTATCTTTGAATTGAGGGAAATTCTTCTCTGGAATTCAATTATTATTTTCAAAAATTTTAATAAAATTCTTAGCAAAATTTCAATTATTTCTAAAAATTTCCCTCAATTCGAAGATTTTCAATATCTACTATTTTAATAAAATTCCCCAAAAGAATTTAATTACTTAAAAAAAAAATTTTTTTATAAAATTCTACGCAAACATTTAATTATTTTCAAAAATAACAAAATTCTTCGCAAAGATTTAATTATTATCATTACAATTAAAATAAATATAAAATATTGATTTTATCACTCGATCATGTTTTACAACAATTTAAATGAAATTCCTCGAAAGAATTCCATTATTTTTACAAATTATTATAAAATTAGTCGAAAACAATAAATTACTTTAAAAAATTTTAATGAAATTCCTTGAAATAATTCAATTAATTTCAATATAATTTTAACTAAAAATTACTAGAAAGAATTTCAATTTTCATTGAAACAATTAAATTTTTTTCAAAAATTTTAATAAAATTCTAGCCAAGAATTCAATTATTTTCATAAATAATAAAATTCTTCAAAGGAATTCAATTGATTTTAATATATTTTAATAAAACTTGTCGATAGAATTCAATTACACTTTAAACATTTTCAATACAATCTTAATAATATTTATTTTTGCAGAATTCAATTAAGTATATATTTTAAAATTTTTTAATAAAATTCTTTGAAACAATTCAATTATTTTCAAAAATGTTGATAAAATTCCTTAGAAAAATTTAAATTAATTTCAGTACTATTTTTATTCAATTTCTTGAATGAATTCAATTATAATTGTAATTTTTATATAACTTAAAAAAATTATATTATTTTCAATTATTGAATAAATGATTCATTTTTGTATTAAAATAATTGAATTTTCATAGAATTTTCTAATAAAAATTGATTTAAAGTGAATTTCAGTTAAAACTTTAAATAATAATTGAATATTAAAAGCATTATAGCATGAATTTTTAGAAAAAATTGAATTTTTAAAAGGCTTCAAATTAAAATCTTTGAAAATTTGAATTTTTCGTATTTTTAACTAACAATTCTGTAGAATTAATTTTTTTTGAAAAAGTTCAATGATTTAAAGAAGAATTTTAGTTAAAAATTCTAAAAAATATAATATAATAATTATAATATTTATAATATAATATTTATAATAATTAATAATTACCTAATAATTAATATTTATTATAATTATAATATAATATTAATATTGAATTGAAATGATGATAATAATTTTGAAGAAGTTACAGTAACAATATTCTTATAATATAAAATAATAATTTTATCACTCGGTCATCTGTAATTTTTATAAAACGTGAAGAAATCAAACACTCCGAGTCGAAGACTCGGAGTGATCGAAAATTGAAATTTTTCAAAATCTTAATTCCTATGAAAAAATAAAGATAATTAAATATTTATGTAAAAAAGAATTTATTGATGTTTTCGAATAATTTTACATTTAAAGGAATTCGTAAATAAATGAAATAGAATATTTTTTGAGTATATAATAATTTTTAGAGTAAATCAGAATATTTTTAGGATCTGGGAAAAAGTCAAGATTTTGTCTGAAAATCAGGGAAAAGTCAGCGAAAAACAAAATTTAATTTTTGTGTCATCCCTGTTAATATATATACTTGCAAATATTTGGAATTCTCAAAATGATCGAATGGAATTTAACTACGGAAAGAGATTTAAAAATATGAATAATTAACAGAAAAAGTTTAACAAAAAAAAAATAATTTGATTTAAAAAAGCTGAAGTTAAAACAAAAAGTACAAAAAAAATGTTTTAAAAAAATTGTAAGCGCTATAATACAATAATTTTTGCTTAATTTAAAAATTCCCCTTTTTTTAAACCGAATTTCTTTTTTAAAAAATAAAATCCCTTTTTTACCTAATATTATATAAAGTAATCTATAATACAATAATTTTTACTTAATTTAAAATTTCCCTTTTTTTAAACTGAATCTCTTTTTTGAAAAATAAAATCCCTTTTTTACCTAATATTACTTAAAGCAATCACTGTGATTTCTACAAGTTTTGTGCAATTAGATAGAAGTCTAATTTTATAGATATAAATTAAATAAGAATTAAAATTTTTTGTTTAACTGCAAACTATAAAAAAAATGAAAAAGATATTTTTAAAGTATAATGCAGTCATTGTTGTAAAAAATTAAATTAGAATATGACTTGGTGACTTATTTCACTGTTACAAAAAGTATAGCGATATTTATTTCTTATAAAATTATATTTTCTTTTCTTCTCAGCACAACCGCCAGGTATTCCTGAAATCTGCAAGAAATCTCTGACGTCATGCCCAGCGACCGGCGGCCTAGAATTATTCATTCTTGGTAAAAATTTTCTGAAAGATACACGCGTTGTCTTTCAATTGGACAGCGATGATCCTTCTACTAGTTTGGAACCGCACTGGGAATGTGCTGTTCTTCCGGACAAGGAATTCCTCCAGCAGACACATTTGGTTTGCGTTGTTCCTGCCTACAGGCGTCAAGATCTTTCGCCCACAGAGACAATTAGTGTGAGACTCTATGCCGTGTCTTCCGGGAAAACAAGCGAACCGCACAATTTCCTCTACACATCATGTTCAACTCCTCCCGAGCCTTCAGTGGGTAAAGTGGAAATATCAAATTCGCCACTAATCCAAGGCAACGACAATGGCTTATCGAGTTCATCGACTGTCTCAAGTGTCCCCACAAACAGTGAGTCTTAATACAGTCAACTCTATCAATAGTGCCGCAAAATTGCACAGCGTTTACGACTTTTCTGGGAACTGTAGTACCCCCACTGTTTGTATATTTCTCTCTTAGGGGAAACTCGAAATTCAGAAGCCGTGCTAGAGTCGCTAAAGTGAGGATAGAGCTCGAGCGAGAAAGAGGAGAAGTGGCACTATTGGTAGAGTTGACTGTAACAAAAAAAAACACACAGATCTTGTAATGGAGCTTTCAACAGATTGAAAAAAATCTTTTCATGTATCCCTTTGCCGAAAGTACTGTCTTCCCGGTCTGATTTGGCTCCGGGAATAGCGACTTTTGTGGCTATATTATAATTTAAATAGGAAGAATTATCATATTAAAAATTTTGAGTTTGAACGACATTTTATAGATGTCACTTTTTTAAAGTAGGTTACTACTCTCAATAGATGAATATTTCGAACCGATGATCGTAAAGTAGGTATATTACTATTATTAAATATTCATTTGTAAAAGAAAATTTCTTGTTTACTATTTTTTAAATTTTACTTCCAATTATTTTTTACTCATAATTTTTTTTCATGCCCGCCCCGACCAGCTAGCTAAGTCTCGGCTTCGCCTCGACTTTGCAAAAGTCGGGCGGGCAGCTTATTGAGCTATTTTATTATTCAAACAATAATTATTTAACGTACTTTCGGCTGGGGATACAGAAAAATTGTATACGACACACGGCCAGAAATTTGGATACCCTGGCGAGCGTGATATATAAAGCCTCGGCTTCGCCTCGGCCTTATATATCACGCCGGCCAGGACATCCAACTTTCTGGCCTAGTATCGTAAAATACTATTAATTGTAGCTCTAATGACCCAAGCTGCCGCCGGAGCTTCTGGTTTTTTAACCCAACAACAGCAGCAGCAACAACAAACGTCGCAACAAGCGCAAACGGAAATTCTTAAAAATAATCCCAGTTCACCGCCTGCACAGTCTCAAGTCACGCCCGTTATGATGTGGACATCTCAGGGAACAAATTGTCAGAATTCGGCTGTTGATGTGATGATGCCACCGCCTCTCGTTGCCAATCAGTTAATGAACAGACGGTCATCCTCAAATCTACAGCTAATCCTGCCCGACAACCTTAAGACGGAGATACTCGACGAGAACAGCAACAGTGGAATGCTGAGCGATAATAGTATAAACAGTGTCAATGTCTCGACACCAACACACAATGGAACTGGAACAAGTCCCTTGCAACAAATTGTCAATGAGAATTCACGGGACGCTTCCCAGTCCAGTCTCATTAGAAACGTTCAGAATGACTCCCCAGTGCAGGACGCTCTGTTGGGAGTTGTCGATCTCATTAGAAATCAGCATTCTCTTTCTCTTCCGCCCCAGCATCCGTCATCGTTCACCGGAATACATGAGTCTTCTCAGGTAAGTGCATTTTATCCCCTTTTCTGGTAATTTACTTACAATCATTTATTATTGGTTGGTTGATTTTGTTTTTGGCCTCCAGTAGCCATGACTTTATCATTTATTTTTCTACTTTGTTCAGGGCTCGAACTAGGTTCGTAAATCCCGTAAAGATCCGTAAATTTGCTTCAAGTCTGTAAAAGTCAGTTTTTTTCAAAAATGGTCCGTAAAGTCCGTAATTTAATTAAAAAAAGTTCGTAAATTGCTCGATATAATTTGAAGAATTTTAGAGAAATTACCAATGATTACAGAAAAATTCAATTATTTTTAAAAGTAATAAAATCCTTCGCAGACATTCAATTTTTTTTCAATTTTTTTCAATTTTTTTAAAACTTCTCGTCAAAATTTCAATTATTATCTTTATAAATAACAAAATTCTTCTCTGAAATTCAATTATTAAAAAAATGTTAATTACATTTTTGGCAAACTTTCAATTAATTTCAAAAATTTCTCAAATTCAATGATTTTCAATACCTACTATTTTAATAAAATTTTCCAAAAGAATTCCATTATTAAAAAAAATTTGAATAAAATTCTACGCAAACATTCAATTATTTTTATTTATTTAAGATTCTTACACGGGCCAGGCCCTTAATACAAAAAAAAACGATTATAAATCTAAATCAAAATAAATAATAATAAATTTTACAGGAATTCAATTATTTTTACTAATAATAAAACTCATCGCAGAATTTTAATTATTTTTAATGCAATTTTAATCGAATTCCTCGAAAAATGAAATTATTCTTAAAAATTTTATTAAAATTCGTCTAAAGAATTTAATTATTTAGAAATTTGTTGATAGAATTTTTTATGAGAATTCAATTTTAACAAACATTCAATTATTCAATAAATTATTTATTTTTGTATTTAAATAATTGAAGAATTTCCGAATAATTGAAATTTTATAAAATTGAATATTGTAAAACAAATAAATTTGAAAATTCTCAGAGAACTTTTTCAAAAATTATTAAAAATAATGGATTTATCGAAGAATTTTAAATTAAAAACACTAGAAAAAAATTTAATTTTCGAGAAGCTAGAAATTATTGCAGAAATTCAATTATTTTCAAAAGTAATAAAATTCTTCTTAAGGATTCAATTATTTTTACTAATAATAAAACTCATCACAGAATTTCAATTATTTTTCATAAAATTTTTATTGAATTCCTTGAAAAAATTAATTATTTTCTTGCAAGTTTTAATAAAATTCGACAAAAGAATTCAATTATTTAAAAATTTGGTGATAAAATTCTTTATAAGAATTCAATTTTGAGAAGCATTTAATTAATCATTAAATTATTTAGGGGAACATAGTCTAGGTCGGCCACCTTTTTGACTTTTGTTTATAACTTTTTTTTAAAAATGAATTTGGACAATTGAAGTATATGGTTGGAAAGTCCTGTTTAATAGGAACATCTTTTCTGTACAAAGTAAATTGATTGGTTTTAAAATGAAAAAGTTATAAAGATTAAAAAAAAAAAAAAATTGTAGTCGAGGTTGGCCATTACAGTCAAGGTCGGCCATGTTTAAAATTCAAAGAGCATTAATCGTTAAAAAATAAAATAACATGTTTGGAGTTACGGAAAATTGATTCTTTATTGTTTACAGTTTGTAACTTAATGAAATAACAAAATAATAACAATAAACAATATAAAAAAATAAATATAAGTAAAAAAAAATTTTGCACTAAAATATTAATAAAATTAAATAAAAATATTAATAAGATGATCAATTATATTATGAGTTATACAGAATTGCAGTTTTTGCAAATGAAGTAGCTAGTCCTCATCTTTGCGCATTTTAAACACATAGTGGCCGACCTTGACAGTAAGTAACATTACCGAATTGTTGTAACCATAAAGAAATACGTTACGGGATTCGATTTTTTACTTTGTTTTCCTTTCAACCATGAGTCCCACAAATTTTCTGCATACTTGCCTTGACGATTCAATTTGTTTTTTATCTTTTATTAATGGTTTTTCACATTATGCACAAAACTTTTTTTCAGCTTTTTTTGTACCGACGTCACAGAAAACACAATTTTCGATCCTCCGAAAATGTAATTGAACAAAAAGTTAGGTTTCACTAAGACAAGCTTCGACAAGCATGCGCGTAGGTGGCGCTAGTGAACTTGTCCAAAAAATCGCGATGGCCTACCTAGACAGTAGACCAACCTTGACTACATTCCCCTACTTTTGTATTTAAATAATTGAATTCTCGTGGAATTTTCTAATAAAAATTGATTTAAAAATGGATTTTAGTTAAAATTTTAGATTATAATTGAATATTAAAAGCAATATAGCGTGAATTTTTAGAAATAATTGAATTTTGAAATTAATTTTTTTGAAAAAGTTTAATTGATTTTTTTTATGTCATTTGAAGTTTTTATTTTCAAATATGCATTTAATTGAAGAATTTAGGAATAATTGAAATTTCGTGAAATTGAATATTGTTAACAAATGGATTTGAAAATTGCCAAAGAACGTTTTCGAAAATTATTAAAAATAATTGATCTAAAGTAGAATTTTAGTTTAAAATTTTTGAAAATATTTGAATTGAAGTGATGAAAATAATTTTGAAGAAGTACAATATTCTTATAATATAAAATAATAATTTTATCATGGGGCCATCTTTAATTATATTATATAAAACATAAAGAAATCGATCACTCCGAGTTTTCGACTCGGAGTTATCGATATCTTCATGTTTTGTAGTTATGAAAAAATTTAATTTATAGTTTAAAGTAAAATGATCTCTTATTTGACTCGGACTGGTTATATTTTTGTCAGTAATTGGTCCGTTTTTCATTTTTGGTCCCTAAAGTCCGTATTTTTAAATACTATCACTAGTTCGAGCCCTGTTTGTTATTTAAATAAAAATAGTTATTGTTTGCTTTTTTATTGTATTAAAAAACAATTTCGTTTTAGGTAAAAGTGCTTAGTCCACATCACATGAAACAGGATTCGAGTCCAATTCTCCAGAATGAGGCGAATTCGAATGGAAATATTCAAGGTGCGGGTGTTGTTGATCTGCGAATGAAACATCATCAGTCGGAGTACGAAGCTCTGAGTAATTACACACCCGCCGGTCAACCATTGCCCACACAGAGTGGACACAGTGTGGAGAATTATTTGAACCAGTTGGAAGCAGCTCGACCACTGGTGCCGTCGCCGAAGGAGCAGGAGTCACAGGATACGAGTTTCGTTGGCACGATACAGCAGCGAGCTTCGATAATTGCCACTGGTCGTCAACAAATGCAACAGCAGACGTCGAAGGACTCGCTCGTTACTGCCAATGGAGATACGCATCAAATCGTTTCGCCTCTTAGGTCCGTTAATACCAGTCCTCTCACCATAATGGGTCACGTTCCTCCGGTCGTCGATCATGGCGAGGCGCTGTCAAGTCCACAGCAGTCAACGAGGCCAAGTCCCCCGGTGGCGGTGCCCGTCAAGACAATGTTGCTCGAGGCTCTTCTTCCAAACCAACAGCCTCTTTCAGTGCCTACGAACAGTGTCGTCACGGCCTCGAATAATGTCGTTTCCGAACCAACTCCCGAGGACAATTTACTTACGACGATTAACGCTGCTATGTTACCACCAATTCAGGAGGCGCCGATTGTCTCCGCTTCAAATTCTTCTAATGGCACTGTCAGCGTTCCTTCTCAAATTCCTTTACAGGTATGGCATTTAAAACCATATTTCAATTTAACTTTAATTTGATTAATTTAACTTCTCTCAATTGTTAAAAATCGAACCAGGAGAATTAAATAGTTAAGGGGAGAGTGCGACGCAATTTTCAGCTATACGAAGACATTAAATTAAAAAAACTTAAAACAGATCTTATAGTAATTTTTCGCGAGGAATTCAATGGTCGTAAAATAAATTAGGTCAACAAATTTTATTTTAAAAAATTTTTATTTTTTGTAAAAAATTAAATATTTTAAAATAAAGTAAAGTAAATTTGTAGAAAATATGTTTATTTATCTAAACAAAAAATGTACACCTCAAAATTTTAATATTATTTACTATTTTTGAAGCATTTTTTTTCGGAAAAAAATTCATTTATATCGAATAAAAGGTAATTTTTGTAATTAAAATTGTAAATTTATGTAATAAAAATCATTTAAATTTGTAAAGTAATTTTTTAAATTTAAGGAATATTTATATTCTTCATGAAATATAGAAGTTTTATGTAATAAGATAATTCACTGTTTTATTTACATTTAAAAAAAAATATTTTAAATAAATGCTACTCAAACATACTTTTTACAAATTTACGGATTGGTTTTAAAATATTTAACTTTTGACGAAAAATAAAAATTTTTTGACATTTTATTTTATGACCATTGAATTCCTTGCGAAAAATTACTATAAGAACTGTTTTGGTGGTTTTTTAAGTTAATGTCTTCGTATATTTCTAAAATGAATTAAGCAAGTTTTCAAAAGCTTATAAATCTATTTTTCAAAAAAGAATCGAGATAAACATAAATTTAATATTTTAAACACCTCACAAATCGACCTGTTACTGTTAAATTTAAAAAGAAAAATTTATTATCAAGAATTTTCAATTTAAAAACTTTTTTAACATAACCAAGTTGACTAATAATTTTTATGTTTTTTATTAGAAAAAATTATCAAATCCTTTAAATTACTTGATTATGGTAAAGTTTAATTATAAAAACAATGTCTTAAATAAAAAACATGGTTATAGAGATAAATTATGACAAATTTTGTATTTTAAAATTAACTTTAGTGGTTATATGTGAAAAAATTAATTTGTTTCAATTTCTCGAAATAAGAATTTTAATAAAATTCTAGTCAAGAATTCAATTATTTTCAATACAACTTCAATGAAACTTCTAGATAGAATTCAATTACACAGTAAAAATTTTAATAAAACTCCCTAATAAGAATTCGATTATTTTCAAAAATTGTGATAAGATTATTCAGAAGAATTCGATTATTTTCGGTACAATTTGAATTAAATTCCTAAAAAGAATTACAATTTTCTTCGAAAGAAGAAAATGCATTTAAATTTTGTAATTGCATTTTTACAAATTTTATTCTTTTTATTTTATAATTTTTATAAATAATAAAATTCTTCCCAAGAATTCAATTATTTTCCTTAATAAAATAATTTTTCGAAGGAACTTCATTATTTCCAATACAATTTAAATTAAATTTCTTGAGAGAATTTCATTATTCTTATAAATTTTTCTAAAATTTGTTAAAAAGGTTCAATTATTTTCGAAAATGTTAATGAAATTCCCTAGAAAAATTTAATTAATATCAGTACTATTTTTATTCAATTCCTTGAAAGAATTCAATTATTTTCAATACCAATTTAATAATATTTCTGGAAAGAAGTTAATTACATTTAAAAATTGTTATAAAACTTTTAAAAAAATTCAATTGTTTTCAAATTTTTTTTTTGAAGAATTTAATTAATTTCAGTGCAATTTTAATTAATTTGCTCAAAAGAATTTAAATTTTCATCGAAATAATTGAATTTGTATTTTTACAATTTCTATTATTTTTTTTATATTAGTACTTTATTAATTATTTTCAATTCTTATAATTTTAATAAAATTTATTGAAAAAATTTGAGGATTTTCAAATTTTTTAAATAAAATTCCTCTCTAGAATTAAATTATTTTCATAAGTTATAAAATACTTCAAAGAAATCCAATTATTTTTAAAAATTTTAATAAACTTCCTTGAAAGAATTCAATTATTTTTAAAAATTTTGATAAGATTTTTTAGAAGATTTCAATTAATTTCAGTATAATTTTTATTAAATTCTTGAAAAGATTTATACATATATTTTTACAAGATTTCAATTTTATTAAAATTCTTTGAAACAATTTAATTATTTTCATAAATTCTAATAAAATTCCGGGCAAGATTTAAATTATAGAAGATTTGAAATTATAACAGTTGAGAAAATTAGGATAAAATCTTTTTATCAAAAATTTCATCATTTTAAAATTAAAAAAATATATGCGTTTACTAATACAAAATGATTGAAAATAATATTATTTCTAAATTTTTCATGCGGAAATGTTTTATAAAAAAATTATTTTCTAAATAAGTAAATAATAAATCTGAATTAGTAAGAAATTAAACTTATTAGAAGTTAAGTAGTATGAAATTTTTAAAATTTACATAGAGCAAGACATAAATATAAATAAAATCCCTTTTCTTAATAAAATAAATACTGTATTTTGCAGTAATAAAAATAAGTTTCTCTGCAATTATTTATAAGTAAGTATTTTTATATTTTAGAATGTTAAATTAAATTTACAAATTAAATTATTATTTTTAATTCAATGCAATTTTGTTTAATTAATTTTTGCTATCTTATAAGCATTCAGGTATTTATTTATTTAATTAGAAAAAGTTCCTAGTTCTTCAAAGCTTTAAAATAGACTTTCATCAATTTTAAAATTCAAAAAATTTAAAAAGAAAAATTATAAAAACATCAGGAAACCATATAGATTGGATTTTTTCAGGTCTCAAGTGAAGTCATGCCCAGAACGACTGATCACCTGCAACTGCAAAGTTTATCGCAACAAAGTGTCGTGACAATGCAACGTCAAGTTCAACAGGTCGAGCAAGTTGTTGCCCAAGCCCAGCAACAAGTCGAGCAGGTCGTCGCTCAAGCCCAACAACAAGCAGTCCAAGCAGTGCAACAAGCCCAACAGCAAGTGGTGCAACAAGTCTTTCAACACGCTCAAGTTGTACAGCAAGCCGTACAGCAGGTTCAAGCTGTACAACAAGTACAAGCCGTACCCGCTTTTCAGCAGGCTGTTCAACAAGCGTCCCAAGAAGTTGTACAACAAGCCGTTCAACAAGCAACTCAAGAAGTCGTTCAGCAAGTGCAAGCCGTTCAGCAGGCCGTGCAGCAAGCGCAAGCCGCCCAAGCAATGCAACAAGCCGTCCAACAAGACATCGGCTCAATGCTTAATCAACCGGCCGGTTTTGTTGCCGAGGCAAGTTCAGCGCTTGCGAGCGGTGCCGCTCAGGAACCGTCGCAACAGCGGCTCACCACCGCAGCCGAACAGGCAATCAACAACGTCATCACCAACGCCACTCAAGATATTATCAACAATAAACCAATAACAACAACCACAGCGCACGCAATAATTGCAACCAAGAATATTTTGAACAGTGTCGCAACGCAAAGCGCTCAATTAATGAACAGCGCCATGGAGGGTATACTTCCAAAATCGCCATCAAGTCAGGGCAATATTGTTGATCAAACTTCAAATAAATCACCGCCAGTGACGGCCAATCGACAGAATGTTAATCCAAACATGCAAAATGCCACGGCAGCTACAAATAATCCTAATAATGTTAGAAAGTCCGAAGATTCTGGCTTACTGTCTCAGGAATTAACTTCAATGTCAGAGCACGATCTTTTGAGTTACATAAATCCCAGCTGTTTCGATCCTCAGGGAGGATTTCTCATGTAAAATGTCACTGGAACTGTGTCCTTAAATTGTAAGGTATGATATTAGAATTTGGACCAATTTATTACAAAAGGAGAACAAAAAATTACAAATGAGCTTAAAGAGTAGAGTCAACAATTCTGATTACAAATTATTTACAAGTAGTTATTACATAAATTGTTTGATTTTTTCTCTTTAGAAAAAAGAGTAAACATAATTAATTATAAAATTTATTATTAAATTTCAAGATAATTTATGTAAATTCAATTGCAAATCAAATTATTGAAATTAAATTTCAAATCAATTTATTTGAATTAAATTTCAAATTATGTAATTTATTTAAGAGGAGACTTCGACTTCATTTTGATCTATATCAAGAAAATGATTTAAATCTTCCGTAAAATAATTTTTATAGTAATTTTTTAAGAGTAAATCAAGGTCAGAAAATATTCTGACCATTTTTGGATTTTTATTTTTCTTAAAAATTGATAGATTTTAAAATCCATCCGTAATTTTGTAGAAAATATGTTTTTTCTATATCCACAAAAAATTGCTGAATGAAAAAATTGTTTTTTACAATTGTGATTCAATTTTTTTATATAAAAATTCACTTGTTTATTTTAAAAAATGAACAAGTGAATTTTCTTATTAAAAAAATATAAAAAATATAAAATATGAAAAATATAAAATATAAAAAATATAAAATATAAAAAATATTTAAAAAATTGAATAAAATGGTATTTTTTAGTATTTTTAACCTAAACACAATGTTTTTTTTCAAAAAAATGCTTCAAAAATTGTAAACATAAATTTTTCCATTCGTCAATTTTTTTGGAGAGCCAAAAACATATTTTCTACAAAATTACGGACGGATTTTAAAATCTATGAATTCTTAAAGAAAATAAAAATCTAAACAGAATTCGATCAGAAGATATTTTGTTTTTATATTCTGACCATTGAATTCCTCTCAAAAAATTACTACAAATATAATTTTATGGAAGTGATTTAAATCATTTTCTAGGATATAGTTAAAAATGTACTCGAAGTCTCCCCTTAAATTGAATTTTAATTAAATTTATTAATCAGGATTCAAATAAATTTAAATATGTAGGTATAAAAACTTCAGTGAAAATCAGTTCTATTTAGTTATAAAATTAACTATTTCATAATTTTAATATTTCAACTATTTTATAAATATTCACGTATGGTTCGTCTAGGATAATGCAGACCTCTAGAAAAATATTTAACATTTAAATAATTAAAATTAGTAATTTATAGAAGAACAAAAATAATCAGTTTTCAAGAAACAATTTAGAATAGAAAAATTTATTTGTTTATACAGTTTACATTAAATTTTCTGTAATTTAGTTTCTTGAGAATTTTTTTAAAAGTGATTAGATTTTAATCATTGGTTTATTTTCTTTAAAATATGATTCTCCACAATTTTACTGTAAAAAATTTAAACAGACACGCTGTTTTGAAAAAACTAAACATTTCAACTTTAAAATGAACAACAATAATTTTTATTACTTTATTCAATTTCAATTTTATTACAAAATATTGCTTTAATATTTTAAAAAATTAATTTTTAACCAAGTAATGTTTAATTTATATTATGTTTCATTTCAGTATAATAATTTTTAAAAATATTTAAACAAAAGAAAGTATTTCTTTCATTTGGACTTGGAAAATTTTAGGGAAATTGAAAATATGCTTATTTATTTAAAAGAAGATGTTGAGTATTTTTAAACAAATAAATTTATTTTCAAAACAGTGTGTTTGTTTAAAAACAAATAAATGTTGAAGATAAATTTTGTTTTTTGAAAATTGATATGTTTTTCCAAAAAAAGAGTAAAATTTTTATTTTTTAAGTATTAATTGATTCTTTTTTAAGGTCCGCAATCGTCTTTAATTAAATCTCAAATTTGATCATTTTTTAAATTCAATTTTTTTTAGAATAAATTTTTAAAAAATTAAAAAAAACTTTTTTAAACTTATTTATATACATTAAATTTAAAATGAATTTATTTGTGGAAAATTTCAATTCAATGCAATAATCAGAATTAAAACAAATTTAAATCAGTATGAAAATATCTATAAAAATCAGTTTCAATTTAAAATGACTAATTTATGAATATTAAATTAGTTTAAGTTAAACATTTGAAATTTTTTTTGCTCTTTTTAAAATCCTTTTGCTATATCGATATATTTTGTTATGGCCTTTTTTGCTCTTGCAAAAAATAAATTTAGATATATCTACAAAAAAAAATTTTTATAACCAAACGATGTTCTAAAATATTACAAAACTAATTAAATGGCAATTTTTAAGAAGTTTTGAAGTACTTTTGATTTTTAATTTATTGAATTTTCTCAATAGGATCTAATGTCTCATATGCGAATATTTTTTCTACTATAAAAATTATATTGAAAAGCATTAAATTATTTTTGCTAAATTTTCATTAGCATTATTGCTATTTATTTTAATTTATTGTTCAATATAAAAAATTGTTTTACATAAATATGTGTCGAAAAGAAAAAGAGTTCGATACCAAATTTCTCTTTTTTTTGTTTACAATTTAGGGAACATGATTTCCAAAAAGAAAACAGGATTTTCGAAAATTAATGGCCTCTGAACTCTGTTAAACTAGTTATAAATATGTTAAGATTGATATTGTAAAATAATAGCGTTTTGAGTTGAGATGTAGAAGTGAAGAAGGAGTACTTTTCTTTTGTTTCATTAAAAAAAAGAAAAGAATCTCTGAACATATAATTATTTCAGAGACATTTTTTTCGCAAAATAATCAAAAAATTTTCGTTCATTTCTATATTACGATGTTTGCATTCTATATTTCTCAAATGATAAAATTTATCGTCACATCTTTTTTTTTTTTTTTGCTTTTTTTTGACGAATGTTCCAACGAGATTTCACTTTGACTATTCGTGAAGAATTGTAATATTCTTAAGTAAGACGGGCGCATAAGTGCGCGACAGTTTTTTTTTCTTCTACTAATTTTTGAAAATGTTACGTTAATTAATTTAAATTTCTTCGTGCCAGAACAACAAGGTGCCTTTTTTTTTTTTTTTTTGAAGCGAAATGTCTGTTTTTTTTCGCTTATGGATATTAAGTTTTTAAGTCAAAGAAACTGTTAATATAAATTAATAATTGATATCCTTACTGACCCCACTCAATGGAGAGAAAAGTTTGTACAGAGCAGCTAAAAAAAATTGAGTGAAGCCAATTTACGATAAACCGTATCTTGATTAAGGAAGTAATTCTGTGAATTATTGAACGCTTCTTTGACTTGATTTCATTACTTATATAATGGATCATTTTGTTGTTTTTTATTATTTTATTATGATAATCGTCCTCAGGACGAGCTTAGTCATAGTGTTGTGCCTTTTTTTCATTTGCGTACGATACTTACAAATTGATTGGATGTAAAAGCGAAAAAATGAAATCTTTATAATCAAAAAATAAAAATAAATACTTTATTCTTCGTTTCGAAAAAAAGTAATTATTCTCTTTTAGAAAATTAATTTAAAAATGCATTTAAAAATAGTTACTGATTCGTTTAGAAAAAAATCAGATAAATATATTTTATTGTGAAAAAAATTTATATTTTTGTTTCTTTTTCAAATCGTTTTACGATTATATCTGTTTAATTATTATTTAGAAAATTAAAATATAACAATTATTATAGATTTTAAGAAATTGGAAAATAAAAAATACAGTAAAAATGTGATAAAAATAAAATTATTTCTATATTCGTTTCTACATTCAATTGTGTTAAGAATTATTGAAATATTTTGTTATTAATTAGCACTGAGCCAACTATGTGATTATGTTGATGTAATCAACGATTAGCAAAGAAATATAACAGAGATTATATTGCATGTAATTGTGAAAGAATGGTTAATGAAATTATATATTACAAAAAAAACAGAAATATATAAATATATAAATAGTTATATATATAATTATAAATATATTTTGTACGCCTACCCAAAGAGAGAAAAAAAACATTCATGTTAACATAAAAGTGAGCTTATCAAAGATTTAATGAGGTCCATTTTTTGCATATATATATATATATATATATATAAACTATATACAAGTATTTTCATTATGAAAATTACTTTCTATTTCAGACGCTTATACAAAAGAAAAATAGTCAGCGTCATTTAAATTGAAACAAAAAAGAATGGAGAAAAAATTAAAAAAAAAAAAAATTATATTTTATATAAGACGCTGAATATAATTGGTGCATCTATCTAATATATATATATATATTTTTTATGTCACGAAAAGAGTAGTAAATTTACTCAATGTAATAATCATAATCTTGAGTGTACGCGCACGCCCCCATATGTGAAGTAAAAATATTCTTAATTAGTGTTGTTAAAATATTCTTGGTATGAAATGAATGCTATGTCTGTTAATCTATGCTCTATACATCAATAATCGCAAAGTTTTACTTTTTTTTTTGGAAAAAACGAGAACCCATCAACATGTATCATCGATAATAATAATTTTAATAAATGTTTCGAAAAGATAAACAAAAATTGTCCACTAAATTTCGACGATTATTGTTAAATTATTATTTACTAATATTATTTTAATTACAATTACTATTATTATATACTCAGAGTTTTTTTTGGTGAGATTTACAACTTTTATTTGTATAAAATTTTACAAATTATATATATAAAGTTCTATTTACAAAGTTTTAGTTTAGAATTTAAGATCACATACCATTCAAAGTTTGTTTAGTAACCAATTATTTTTCTGTCCTATCACTTTACCTTCTTTGTTTAATTTCTCAAGATGGTGGTTAACGTTTATTGAAGCTGCTGGCCAAAGATCTTTTGGTGTTGTCTGAAAATGGATAAATTTTGGTTTAATTAGTTTATTTAGAGTTTATTAAATTGTAGATCTTATTTACTTTTACTAATTTTACGAATTTTTGCAAAAATTTGATATTTCTCCTCATTTTCAGACAGAAAATTAACTTTTTCTCTGATTCCTGTTATAAAAAGAAAATTCAAGGCAAGTTTAATTATAAAAAATGATAATTTTTAGAAGCAAAAATTTGATTTTAAACTTTAAGTGTGTCCAACTGTTTTTGAAAATAAAATTAATTATTGTGGCTACTTTCCCTCGATTATTTGCGAAAATTTTAAAAATATTCTTTAAAAAGAAATCAATTATTTTTCATATAAAATTTCAATTATTTATAAAATGTCAATTATTTGCTTATAAAAATTCAATTATATTTAAGCAATGGAATATAAATATTTTGAAAATTGAAAAACTAATTTTTCAAAATTTTAAATAAAACTTTTCGAAACTTCAATTTTAAGAAAAATATTTAAATCCTTTTAAAGTTAACTAATTAATGAAACTTTTAATTACAATTTTTCCAGAATTAAATTATCTTAGATGCAATTTGGGCCCTTTAATGCTGCTTTTGCACTAACAAACATATAAATACAGTCAATTATGAATTTTTTTATAATTCAATTATTTACTAATTATTAAATTAAAATTCTTCGAAAATTCGATTTTCTTTTAAATCTCAAATATAATTCTTTAACAAAATTTAACTTATTTCCAATTCAATTTCACAAAATTCAATTAATTTTATAATTTTTCAATAAAATGATTTTAAAAATTGCGATAATTTAAAAAAAAATGAATTAAAATTTCTCAGACATCTATTCTTTTCAGAATTTCAAATAATATTAATTAAAACTTAAATAGCTTTTTAAATAAATAATTAATTAATTTTAATTTACTTAAAACAATTGAAATTTTCAAAAACCTAATTTTTCAGAATTTTAAATAAAACTTTTTGAAACTTTAATTTTATAGAAAAAATTTGAAGTTTAAATCTTTTTAGAATTGACTAATTAAAAAAATTTGTAATTCTAATTCATTAGAAATTAAATTATTTTAGATACAATTTTGCCCCTTTTGGACACTAACAAATATATTACAATTAATACAAGTTAATCTTTATACAATTTATTTATTAATGACCAATTAAGTTTAAATTGATTGAAAATTAGACTTTTTAAAAAATCTTTTATCATTTCACAAATTTAATTATTTTCAATTTATTTTTACAAAATTTCAATTAATTTGATAATTGTTTATCAAACTCTTTACATTCACTTCTAAATCTTTGTAAAATTTATTTATTAATAACTAATTAAATTGAAATTGATTGAAAATTAGATTTTTTAAAAAATCTCCAATAATATTCTTTAAAAAATTTAATTATTTTTAATTAAATTTCACAAAATTTCAATTCATTTGATAATTCTTTATTATCTTTTTTTTAATTCAAATATTTTGAAAAAAATGAATTAAAATTATTTCTTAGAAACTTAATTTATTTGGGAATTTTAAGTAAAATTATATAAAATTTAAAAATATGTTTTCAAATAAATAAGTAATTATTATTAATTTTTTCAAAAGAAATAAAGTATTCGAAAAAATTTTAGTATAAAACCTTTTGAAATTCAATTTGTTCTGAAAATTGCAACTATTTGTAATTGAAATCTTTTCTAAGTAAATTATACATGATTATACATAATTATAAACTCGAAGAAATTTAATTTAACATTTAATTATTGATTTAAATAAAGAAAAATAAAGCATTGCTTTAAAGTTCATTGTGATTTAAATGTTCTTGAGATGGAATAGAATTCAAGTTTTTTAATGTTTTCAAACATGTTTTTGGACGCCAAAAACCAGGATTTTTGTAATAAATTCCAGAAATTTGATATTTTTCCATTACTTTTGATAAAATTTCCTGACATTTCCCTAATTTTTCCCTGACTTGTGGTAACCCTAGTAAACTTAAATTTCGAAGTTTACCTTATAAACAATTTGTACAATTTCCATCACAGAAATGGGTTCAGTTGCATTCTGCAAGCACTTGAGAATTTCATCCTCTCGCTGCTGACGATGCTGAATGTAATATTGAATACGAGGCACAGGATCGTTAATAACAGGACCATGTCCTGGATAAATCAGCGACGGTGATAATTTCAATATATCTTTCAATGATATCATGTAATCGTGTAGATCCTCAAAAACTGCTGTACCTTCACCTAGAATACAATCTCCACTGAAGAGAATATTTTCCTGTTCCATATATAGACAATAGTGATCGGTTGTGTGACCTGGTGTTGGTTTTATTTGTAATTTAGCGCCTTCAACTTCTATCATTTGATCGCAATTCAATGAATTCCATTCAAATTTCTCCCCGTTTGTAATAGCAGTGTCTGTCGATGATCTTGGCAATTTCCAAACAGTCACTGACTTTAGATTCTTTGTTTTTAAACAATTTTGAATTGCCGGTACTCCTCCAATGTGATCGTGATGCCAATGAGTAATTAACATGTGCTCTATTGAAGCTCCTTCATCATCCAAAACTTGACTCAATAATTTCACGTATTTTGGCGCCGTGTCCACATCACCCGTGTCAATCAAAATTCGCCTGAAAATTAGAAAAAATTTATTCTTTAAGAAAAGTATAAAAATAGGAACTAAATACATTTTTATAATAACAGTAGTAATAATAACAATAATAATAAAAAATAATAGTAATAATAATAGTAGTATTAATACTCATTAGTCATTAACATCGAAGTAAAAAGAAATAATTTGAAAATTATAAATTAAAGAAAAAGAACAATTGATTTTCTAATTTTTTGTTTGTTAAATTTTCGTAGTTTTGGCCATTGTTTATTATTCGCTAAATGTGAGGTTATAGATTTGTTGAAAGCATGATTTACCTTGATCCACTGCCAACGAGGTATGTATTCGTTCCCTGAAGAGTCATTGGTCCAGGATTGCATCCAAGGATCCGAATGACATTATTTGACAGTCTGGATATTAGAGGAATAGCTGTCAAGGATGTCATTTTTTGACAAGTTTACATATTTCTATACAATAAACTGAAAATAAACTGATAAACTTTAGACTCTACTCTACTGATAATTTCCACGTTGTAGGGATCTAATCTACCTTGTTGAACTTTGATCTCTTATAAATTGCAATTCATTGATAAAATGAAAATACAAAATTTGCAATACCTATTACAAATATTTTCTTTTTATTTAAAAAAAAATGCTTTTTTAAACTTGATTTTAAACTTTTTCTCTAAGAATTTTAGTCTGGAAATACCATTTTTAAAATGTTTTAAAAAGAAAATTGCCCATTGTTTTAAATTTTTAGAAAATTATTTAGAAAAATAGTATCATTGCAAAATTGTTAGAAAATGTAATACCAAAAATATGCAATAATATAAATTGTGATTTTTTATTTACACTTTCTTTTTCAAACATATCCAATTAATTGTTGCATTGTACGAGTCTTTTGGAATTATCGAATCGCCTAGAAAATAAGGAACGTGCCAGCCATTTTCATCTTCATGTGCAATTGCTTCATACTTGACTGGATAACTAATATTAGTTGAATAAGGTGCTTTTAAATATTGATGTGACAATTGCCAGAGTTTAAATAATTTTTGCATATTCTTTGGCAATAGTGTTTTATGTTGACGCATTAAATCGCCTGACAGGAAGCAAGTATTCATACCGCCGTATAAAGTAGCGTATATTAAATGTGGATCATCGTGTGAGCTAAAATTTAACATTTCTTATGGAAAATCAAATTTAATATTTACTTAATAATATATTTGATATTTTATTAAAAGTAAATAGTTTTTTAAATTTCATATTCATTCTAGTAATTATGTTTAATTTACCTGTTATCCATTAGAAATATTTTTGCATTACGTTTAATGTAGTTCATATTACTCCACCTTAGCATATGCTTTCGTCCAAGAAGAACAACTTTTTTATCTTTATTGACAAAATACTGGACAGCGTTTGATATCTGAAAATTAAAGGAAAAAAATAAACATTAATAATTGAAAAATATTAAATTACTGAAATAAATGTAAAATTAGAGTTGCCAGAGATGAGGAAAAACAGGGAAAAGTAGAGAAATTTTATCAAAAGTACTGCAAAAAAATTTAATTTTTAGAATTCCAGGGTGGCCACTTTTTTTGTAAAAAAAAATTCACGGTCATTTCCCGGTCATGAATTATTTCTCCCGGTCATAAATAATAACTCTGAAAATAAATTATTCCATGAAAGATTGGAAGAATTTCCTGATTTTTAGACAAAACTTTGACTTTTTCCCAAACCCTAAAAATATTTTAGTTTACTCTAAAAATAATTTTGAACTTAGATAGATTTTTTGAAATAAATGAATATTTTTAAAAAATCTTTGAACATAATTGAATTTCTGCTAAGAATTTTATTACTTTTGAAAATAATTGAATTTCTGCAATCATTTGCAATTTCTCTAAAATTATTCAAATTATATCGAACAATTTACGAACTTTTCATTCTTCTTCAATCAAATTACGAACTTTACGGACCTAGTTCGAGCCCTATAATTGAATTCTTTATAAACTTTTTTAAAAATTATTGAAAATAATAATTGAACAAGAGAAGAATTTCAATTAAAATTCTAGAAAATAATTAAATTTAAATCTTGAAAATATTTTTGCATAAGTTACAGTAGAAATTCTTATAAATTATTGAATGTCAAAGAAAATTATGAAATTTTTTAAAATCTTAATTCCAGTGAAAAAAAAACTTATAGCAACCCAGAAAATTACTGGAAAAAAATCTTACCGCTTCTGCTTTCATCTTATTCTCTCTGTTTGGTGTAGACAAAGCGATATTTAATCCATCAATTACAATATCATATGGTAATGAATTTTTTAAAAATAGTAGAAAACTTTTAAATTCTGCAGGTGTTGTTTTTTCATAAACATTGTCACCGATAACAACATTTTTCATAAATAATCCCGACATTTGCTTGAATTCTTCTTGGTTTATCACTGCCGAAGGCAATTTATGTGAACAATGCATACATGTTCCGCTGAAAAAATAAAATATTTTTTTCATATATAAATATAGAAAAAAATTGTCAATTTATACTGAAATTTCTATATTGTATAAACTGTAAAAAAAACTTACTGGACATTTATTATTGTATCATAATATGTATACCCTAGACTTTGGAAAATTGTCAAATAATTATCTAATTCCAATTTATGCAATTTCGTCTCTTTATCGTGGCAAAATTGTAAAATTTTGAGAAGATTTTTTTCAAGTAATTCTTTGTCTTGAAACGTTTTTAGACAATATTCTAAATAACTTGCATAGACTTCTGGAAATATGTAAAACTTATTGTCTGCAGATTGCTCAAGATACTTCCAGCCAATTTCTGGCTTATTGTTTTGAAATGCTGTCTTGATTATAGTACTTGTCGTTTTGGCTGGTATTTTATTTGTATAATAAATCATTTCTAATAATTCAATAGACTCTTCCCATCTGTCAGTTGCGCAAAGTGCATTAACAAAACAATCACACGTATTTCCATCTAAAATTGAATATTTTTGACGCAATGTATCATATAAATTGTAAATTTCCTGCATCTCTTCTTTTGTTAAATTTCCCTTAAATGCCAAATTAGATGCATATGTTCCCATGATATAAAGATTAAGTTCATAATTATTAGTTTTTAAATAATCCACGTAGGATCTAAAGGCATTGTCATTGTCAAAAGAAAAACAAATATTTGAAACTATAGCGTCAATGTTTTTTTCATTAATAAATGTAATTGACATTAGTTCGTCGCGTGCTTTTAGCCAATCATTTGATGTTAAAGCAACTTTTGATTTTATAAGTTTTGTCACATTTAAATCTTTTTCCAATACATCTCGTAAAAATGCTGTTTTTTTATTAAGTTTTACTTCGTGATCGTCAATTAGTACTGTTGCTGGACGTTTTTTTATTCTAAAATTCGTGTAAACTGTACTCATATTTTTTAAAGCCGGTGATTGTTTAACATTGTGAATAAGTCGACTTGTTAGAAAAGACATTTCTAAAACCTGTAAAAATTAATTTAAATATTTTAAATGATTCCATCTCTTAAAAAGAACATAAATTAACTTACTTTATAATAACAAAATCAAAATTATTTCAATAAATCGTTCACAATTGTTAATTCGTTCAATTTATAGGTTATGCATTTCACTTATTGTTTGCATCAGTGCATTTGTACAAAATACAAAATTATATTTCATCAATGTAAAAACTTAATTTACAATCATCAATAATTCCTTTTGGATTAAAAATAACTTTTATTAATTAACAATTAAGACAAGTTAGTCTTTAAAAATCAACAATAAATCAAAACAAAACAATTTCAACACGTGAGTGGAGATTACTCCCAAGGTTGGGTAGGTGTAAAATATTTTTCATACAATAATTTTTTATTATTATTTACTCACCACTTTGCACAATAAGTAATTTAAGTATTATTATACAGTTTTTTCATCTTTATATCCATTTTAAATGAATTTTGATAATAAAAATATGATTTAATATTACTGTTACGTAAATAATGTACGAAAGTATGATTCCTTGACTTCCCAACCTTAAATTAAATTTCAAATTGCAGAATGTAAAATTAAAAACAATGCAATGTGCGAATGTGATTATCCTTTTTTTTTTAAAAAACGTTAATTCTAAAAATAAGAAATTTATCATTTTCTGAAATATACTGTTTGAAAATTTATAAAGAGGAAAAAATTATGAAAGTAGGTAAACTTTTGAAACTGTAATGACGAGAATAAAAAACATAACCTATAAATTTGCGAAACAATTTTTATTAATTTTTTCAATATTTTCTACAATTATTACAATGATTTGAAAATGCCAATTTAATGAATTTGTAACATAATTTTTTCAGAAAAATTAGAAGGAATTGTTAAATATTGACTAATTGGGAATCGTCGAGAATGATTTTCTCTCCTGGTTTGAAGGCAGCCATTCCCAAGTAAGGACAACTGGCACATCGAAAAGCATCACCAAGGTAACAATTTCCACATGAAGACTTAACACCCTGCTCCTCATCAGTTTTGCCATTTAATTCCTCACTAAGACCACAGGTACAATCTTTGCATGCCTTACGTTTTCCAGTTGTACTACAAACTCTTAACGATGATTCCGTTGGTTTTGCTTTTTCACTTTCGTCCAAGAGATCGCTTTCGTCAATTAAATTATCATCATTATCGTTATCATCATCTTCATCTAATTTCCACATACTAACAGGTTCTTTGGCAAATGAAAGTGCCACACTGGAACCAGCCTCGTAGGACGGTTTCTTTGCATAAATTTCACGGAAAATTATTTCCTCTTCATCAACTGATTTTTTTCTTAATACAGTTTTTGACAATTCAAAAAGAAATCCATTTAATTTCAGTCTTGAAACAAAACTTTCTTCCAACTTTTCTAATTGCTCAACAGATCCACGGAAAATAATTCTCCCATTCGGCTTTAGAAATTGTAATAATTTTTTTAGTACCGCATTATTGGAGGAAAACGATTGTTCAAATGCGACGAGAATTATGTCTATTGATGATAAAGTTGGATTTGTTTTTAATAATACTTCGAGATCTTCATGTAAAACTTCTGGTTTCTTTCCTTCTGATTTTTTAATTTCGTCTTCAATATCTTGAAAATATGATGAATTGCTGGTGAAAATTAATACTTTATCGGTTTCTTTCACAAATTCATACATTTTTCAGGTGTGAATATTAAAATTTTATATAAATTATAATTTACTGTTGAAAAACGTGAAAAACTTTTGATCCTTTTGATTCTCGTTTGTCATCGACAGATTTGATTTTGAGATTTGAAAACTGAAAATATTGAACTAGATGAGAAACTTAATAATTCGAAAAAGTAAACATTAAGTATCACATTAATGGAATTCTGCTTTCTGATTGGTTAATATTGGATAATTTTTCTTTTTGCGATTCACATGGCTACCGCACCTTGCAATTTTCCGTAACTACTCAGCCCTGCTTGTCATTTTGCAAATCATAAAAATAAAAACAACCGCACTGTAAAGTCATTGTCGAAATTGTTTAAATCTATTTACCTGTAAAGTAAAGAAGTTATCAGTGTTTACTTATTATTTAAATAGAACCGAAAGATGATAACTTTCAAAGAAGAAGTGGATTTGAAGAATCATACTCTAATTCTTCCGGCAGTGGCCGTTGGAAATGTTGGTCAATTAACAGTTGATTTAATAATTTCTAGTTTGCAATTACGAAGAATTGGCCTCTTTTCGAATTCTTCCTTTATTCCGGTAGTAGGCACTGATCCGTACGATGAAAATTCTCAAGAAATTTGCACCTCTGCTGATTTATATCACAGCTCTGACAAGAAAGTAGTCGTATTACAAATTCGATCACCTGTCATTCGAAAATTATCCCAGTTTTACAATGAATTAAAGAATTTTATTAAGTACCATCAAATATCAAAGGTAAATTTTATTTATTTTTTATTGTAAGTATGTTTATTGTATTTTACAGTCATGAAATATTTAATTGCATGTTTGTTTGATAAATTTGAGGTTATGTAGCTTTCATGTTTTAAACATACAAAAAACTGTGAATAAATAACAATTGTTTAATTATATTCAATCCATTTGAGGTTATGTACATCAAATGCGACTTTGGTCTTTTAAGTTGTAAACAAAAACGACCATTAAATGATTTTGTACATTTTGTACAAATGATTATATTTCTATACATTGCAGTAATAACAAAATTTCAATTTCTTCAAAAACGACTCAAAAAGCTTGATAAAAATATTTATTTTCTTCTTTCATCTGCTGAAATTTGTATAGATTTAAAATATTGAAGAGAAATGGCAAACACAAGCACTTTTTAATTAAAATTTTTATCTCGTTGAGAAAAAATTTGCTTACTATCAATTGTTTACAGGTTGTCCTTTTGACAAGTAGTTATAGTCACGAGATTAGAGATGTTCAATTGAAAACAGTTCGATTGCGTTACATTGCATCAACAAATTTACCTGCTGAGAATACAACTGAATTCAACAATTTAAATTGGATCCAATTAGAACCGAAAGTTGTTGATTACGTCGATACTGAAGGCGTTCTACAAATTCCTGGCGGTGGCTTTGCAAAATGTATTTTTCAAGCTTTAGAGAAAGATGAAATTCCTTGTGCTGTCCTACTGAAATTTTGTTCCGAAGGTGATAACATACCCGATGCAATTGATTTGCTGAATTATTTAAATCAATGGTTGTTAATTCTTTCTAATAATGACGACAATTCATTAGCTATTAAATATCCCTCGTCGTGGAAATTTTTGTTCGGCAATTCTCCACCATCGGAAATATATTAAAAAAATATATGTTATATTTTTTATAAATATATCTAAATAGTTTTGTTCTCACTCTTCTGCAAACTAGTTTAATTTCTAAAATTATTATAGTTTTTTCATGTTTTCTTTAATTAGGTTTCTTTCTTAATTTTAAATCAATTTTTATTGGATATTTATTTCAATTGGTTGATTAAAATTGATTCTAGAAAGGTTACAATTTTATTACAATTTCAGGGTTGCCACAGGTCAGGAAAATCAGATAATTCACGGAAAAGTCAGGGAAAAAGTTAAATGTTTAGAATTTAGAAGAAAATTCTGAATTTTATATCTTTTTGTTTGCTTCATAAACTATTTCTGACAATATTTTATTTTAAATAACTTAATTAAATTGAAGAACTGCCATAAAGTTATTACTTATAAATCATTTAAAGAAAAAAAATTCTCATAAAAATTTTAATTATCTTTATAAATAGCAAAATTCTTCGCCGAAATTCAATTATATTCAGGAAATTTTATAAAATTCATGGTAAAATCCAATTATTTTCATAAATAACCAAATTCCTCACAAGAATTCAATTATTTTCCAAAAAGATAACAGTTTCACAGGAATTCAATTATTTAAAATAGAATTGGCATAAATCTTTCCGAAAAAGTCAAATGTTTTAAAATTTGGCATTAAATTCTTCGCAGTAATTCAATTATTTTCATAAATTCTAAAATTCTTTACAGGGATTTAATTATATTCATAAATAATAAAAACATTCGGAGAAAGTAAATTATTTTCATAAATAACAATATTCATGACAAGATTCAATTCATGACTTAATTCAATTATTTTAAAATATTTTTCTTAATTCAATAATTTGTATATCTATTAAATATTTTAATAAAATTTCCCAGAAATATTTAATTATTTAAAAATAATTTTGACAAAGTTCTACACGAATATTTAATTATTTTCTAAAATAATGAAAATTTCAAGGGAATTCTATTATTAAAAATAGAATTGGCATAAATTTCTTCGAAAAAAATCAATTGTTTGAAACTTTTTTATAAAATTCTTCGCAATAATTAAATTATTTTCATAAATAATAAAACTCATTGCAGAATTTAAATTATTTTTAATACAATTTTTATTCGAATTCCTTGGAAAATGTGATTAAAATTAGTCGAAACAATTAAATTATTATCATTTAAAAATTTGTTGATAAAATTCTTTACAAGAATTCAATTTTAATTGGAAACAATCATTGGATTTTTAATTTCTTTGGACTTTTTGACCAGGACAAAATATCCAAAAAATGAGTCTAAAGTGAAACTTTTTTTTTTTTACTTTTTTTGATTTCATTTACTTTGGAATAATAATTGAATTGAAGTGATGAAAATAATTTTGAAGAAGTTACAGTAATGGTTTTACCACTTGGTCACCTTCAATTATTATCAGTTATTGAATTTGAAAAGGTTTGAATTAGAAATTTTTAAAATCTTAGTTCCCATGGAAAAACAATTAAATATTTTTGGCAACTCAGAATTTTTTGTTTCTTCAATTAAAACTTGACCTGATTTTTTTCTAAATTGGAAACTGCATTGAATTTTCAACATTTTTTTTTCACAAAAAGACGTAAATTTATTTTTAAAAAAGAAACTTATATTACAGTTTTTATAAATTACTTAAACAAAAAATAATTTTTACGCTAGAAGTTTAGATTTTGCGGAAAATGCTGCGTACGAAACGAGAGCTGCTAAAATGACAGCAAGTAATTCGGAATTTATCCAGGGTCCTTGGTAAACTCCTGGATTGTTGACAACAACTACTGCCAATGGTTTTACACTGCTTGGATCTTCTGCATTTCTGTAAGCTTTACGAATAGCCGAGTAGCCTTCCTCGTCGTACAATTTGACATCGTAATCTCCTGAGTGAACTTTCTTAATGTCTTCCGTCCAGGATACCTGAAATTTCAGTTGCAGAGTTAGTTAATTCCCAAAAGATTAATTTAAAACTATTCTTAATTATTAATAGATTTTCTAGTTTGTTTAGAAGCATTTTTCATTCACCTTTCCTTTATTTTATAATGAGGTTTAAGTTAAAAAGATTGATGTTAAAATTTTTCCATTTTTTAATTTTAATGATTCCGAATTTTTTGTCTATTATAAATTTATTTAACATATCGAATTATTTAATTTAGAAAATCGTTAGGGAAAATAGAATTGTAATAGAAACATATGTACCTGATATTTATTATCTGCACTCAATTTTACAGCTGGCAATGCCTTGCCATTAACTTCGGCGTAAAGGGAAATTCCTTTAACTCCATTACTGCATTTTAATGTGAATTGTGTCGTAAATGCGACTTTAGTCAAAACTGTAGCATCTTCTGTAACATAAGCTGAGGCAACAACCTCTGGTTTTTGACAAGTTTCAGCAAATACTACTGAAACAGTGTAAAGAGTGAAAAACAGAACTAAAAATGACTTCATGACTAATAATAATTAAACTTTTAAGTCACTAATGTTAATTTGTTAATAAAATAAAAAATGCTAACAACTTTGCTAGCTTTCTGCCGGGAGTAAAGATTTCTGTCAACTGATGACGGATAAATTATTTGGAAAACAGAAAGCTACATAACCCCGGTCCACGTAGACGACGTGGACCACGTTGTTCGTTCATTGATTACTTTGAACATAGAAAGGAGTCGTGTAGAGTAAGAATGAAAGTAGGTATTTAAAGAGTGAGATAGAGAGTGTGGGACATTCTGTCTCTTTCTGTTTCATTGGTTAAAAGGAAAAGATTAGTTTTACAGTTTTAAATCTTTGTTAAATGTTATTTATATATTTAAATCTGTATGAATGATCCTTAGGCACTATTTATTCAATTAATTACAATGTTTTTATTAAATAATAATAAACAGTAATGTAATGTCAAAAATCATTATAGTTGCGTAAAATAAACATAGTTGTCGCTAGTGATGCGCAGAGGTGTTAAACATCTGATTTGCGACACATTCTCTCAATTGAGTAGTGTGAACGACCTTTATTTGACTAATGGCAGCGTTTTGCGTTGCGTTTTGTAACTAGTCCATGTGAATGAGAGAGATGGAAATATACGTTCGCTGTACTTGCACTCATGGCCTAGTTACAAAACGCAACGCAAAACGGTGCCATGGGACTCCACCCTTAATGTGCCATAAACGTAGCGACCCAACGCTGAGTGCGACGATAAACGTTACATTTAGCTTCCACACCCTGTTGAAGAGTGGACACATTCATGTCGGTCGACTAACTTGACAAAAAAGCATAAATATTGTGAAAAACAAGTTAAAAATTAAAAATAATTGCACAAAATATTCAGAATAAAGTCATTACGTAGTATTTATAAATATTTCAAGTAGAAATTATCTAAATTACCAATGATGCTGTATAAAAGATCGGCTATTGTTGTGTTATTGTTTTCCACATCGTTTTCGAAGATTTATTATTATCGACGTAAAATGTTGTTAATTTATTCAATGTTTCTGAGGTAGAGTATTTTTTCTTCATCAATTTTTAGTTTTATTATAGTCGACAAATTGTTTTGTGAAATTTAGTTTTTATTTATTAATTTTTTTTTCGTCAACTGCGCATGACTGAAAATTTGAAAATGTTGTTTGAATATTTATGTACGTTTTTGTTAATTGTTTTCAACTTTTTCCACTTATTTTCTGTTTACTATTCATATAAATATCGATGCTCGATTATTTTTTTAATTTGACAACAATTAGCGTTTTAAATTGTCTCCATTTCAGTTTTATACGCAGAATTGTGTGTACAGCAGGTGAAATAACAGTTCTCGTATATTATTGAAAAATTTTTTGTATTTAATATCTTCTTGTTCTTTTTTGCAATAAAGTTGTTTTTAATAAAGACTTTTAAAATGAACAATTAATTACATTTTTATATTTTTTTGAACTAACAGATAAAACTTTTTATTTTTCAGCTATTTCCCTTTTCAAAGTTCTCTGGAAGGATGTCTATAATTAAAAATTTGCAAAAATTTCCAGAGTTCAATCAACTCTGTGAGGAAAGTTTGGTAAGAATTTTTTTTATCTTCAGAATAAATTTATTACTTTTTTTACCATAATTTATTGTTTTTAAAACAAGTAAACTTATTTTCAAACCTAAAGAAATAATAATTTACTAATTGCTACTTAGTAAATTTTGTTGATATTTATTTTGGAACGATTAATACTTCTGCTGAAGTTCTTTAATGTTTTTTGTATTTATTTCCTATATATTTTCAAACTTAAAAAATAATAATTACTATCTAGCTGTGATTCAGTCAATTTCATTGATATTTATTATATGGAAAAGTTAACACTTTTTGCTTATTTTTAAAATATTCTTTATTTATTTATTTTCCTGAAGTACATACTTTCAGATAATGAACTTTATACTTTAATTATGTAATTTCATGAATAATTTCTATACATTTTCAGGTAATTCCCAAAGAAGGAAGGGTTCAGAAAACCATGAAGAATATAAAGTTGTGGATCAGAGTAGCGTTCTTCAGAAGTAATTCCCCTCCAGTTTCTCAATTTTTGAAGTGCAAATTGACATAATGTCCAACGTCCAATGTGGAAATCGCCATTAAAAAAGGTTTTTTAAAGTCTGGTACTGTTTATTAAAAGTTTTTAAGTAACCCCTTCCCTGTTTTCCCGAGTGCTTGAGTCGCTTTGCCAAAAATAATTAATTCAAAATTAATTATTAATTTATTTAATAATTAACTTTTTGCAAAATTAAAAATTGACTTAATTGATTAAATTTTTCAATTATTATTTTGTTTTATTTTCTTATAAAAGAAATATACCACATGATTTGAAATTAATGGCAAATATTTCAAAACAGGGAAGGAAGAAGAACAACATAGTGACACCATTGGTATAATATATTAATTTTTAGTATATTTTATTAAGACTATGAAAATTAATATTTTTATCAATGATTTTTATTGTTTGCATGTATATATCATTTCAATTGTTTAATGTTCAATGTTTTGCCATTTTTCATATTATTCAAAGTAACTTTTGGTCATTTATGATTAGTATTAATTAAAAGCAGAACTGTAGTAGTTTTTAATTTGTACTTTTATATCTTAAGAAGGTAAATTCAATTTCTTAACGTTCAAATCGAGAAAATATTTTTCTATTATAAATATTTTCAAAAAGTACTGACTGCATTGAAAATAAACAAATTTTGTTCATTCGAAAATTTAGAACTTTAGGGACATATTCTTAAAAACTATTTTATTAATTTCAAAATTTTTTGCAGTATAAATTTTTCTAGTTCAGTATATTATATTATTGTTAAATTTTTTAAAGGTTTATTTAATTATTTAATGTTATATTCAATTAAGTAACGTTTTATCAAATTACTTAATTTTTTATTCAATTATTAGTTAAAAGTTAAATTTTTGGAAAATGGCATTGGAAAATATAATAAAGTTTTTTATTTTCAGGAATTTTGTTTTTCTTTTTTTGAGTGTTTTTGAGCTAAGGTGACGGATGCGTCCCGGGACGTATGGGTGAGCCTAACGTGCCCCTTTATCCCTAGTGTAGGCTGTTTGCACCTTGGCGGTATGAGAGAGGATCGTGGAGTGAATGTATTAAATAATAAACAAGAATTTTTTAATAAAATTTATGAATTTTCAGGAATGGGGGGGGGTAACTTTTTTATAAGTCTGACTGTGTGAGAAATTTTGCGTTTAGAGATAGTTGCAGGGGTAGGTAGGGAAATAAGGAAATATCGACTTTAGACGCTTTTGCGATGTGTGCGAAAATTACAATGACAACCGACCTTAAAAATAGAGAAAAAATGTTTTCTCACAGCTATTGAAAATTCTGGCGTCTTTTAACGTAATAAGATGCCCCGTGAGACCGCATTTTACCTCAAAAGCCGGCACTGAAACGAACTATAGTTTCGTTATGTTTGTGTCATAATATCTGGAGATCCAGAGCATCTATATAAATATATATTTATTACTATAAAATATTTTTTATATCTTTTGGTCACTATGTTGTTCACAAATTTTTGAAAGCATTTATCAATGTAATTAGTGTTCTACAGTCGAACCTCGTTTATCTGAACATCAACTGAAAATTTTCTTATTTTACCTCTTTACGTTTTCTTAAAACACAACATTAATTTTAATAATATATAATAATAATAATAATAATAACTTCGCGATAACTTCTCTTAAATTATGAATAATAATAATCAATGAATACTTTAATAATTTATAATATATGTAAATTAATATTAATCAATTAAAGTAAATGTTTAATAATAATGATGAATAATAATTAAACAAATAAAATAATTAAATTAATAATTTAATAATAACTTATTTACCTGATCAATTGATTAGTGCAAAAATATGCTTGAATTATTTATTAATTAATTATTAATTTTTAAAGCTCAGAAGTTAAAAATCTTTTTATACCTATTAGTCTTTAAAATAATAGGTCTTTTTAACTAATAATTCTCAGTCTTTAACTTACAAAATTTTTAATACAGGTAACAAATATAAAATTACTTTTACTTCCAAGAAAAATCCAAATTGTTTGGAATTTTTGACAAATTGTATTAATTTCAGAATAAATTTTACTAGATTCAAAGTATATTTTACTAATTTTCAATAAAATTTACTACGGACATTATAAAATTTACTCTGGAAATAACGATTTTCAATAGCAAAATTTACTATTTATAATGTTAAATTGATTTATAAAAATTATTCAAATTTTCCTCGAACATTACAATTAGCTATTAAATATTCTTATTTTTTGAGTAAATTTTACTGCTTTTGAAATGAATTTTTTAAATTTTTTTAAAAAAATTGTCTTTGAAAATAGTAAAAGTTATTTTGGAAATAACAATTTTTAATATTAAATTTTACTATTTTTGAAGAAAATTTTTCCAAGTCCCAAGTTAATTTTACTAATTTTTTTCTGAAATTTACATCGCACATCGTAAAATTCATGTAATTTTAAAATAAAAGTAGGTTTGTAAAAAATATTAAAGAAAGTTACAATGTACTGAAAAAGATAAAAAATATAAATAAGTAACATAAAAAGTTTAACAAAAAAAAATAATTTCATTTAAAAAAGCTGAAATTAAAAGAAAAAGTAAAAAAAATCTTTAAAATAAATGTTATGCTCTTAAATACAATAATTTTTACTTAATTTAAAAATTTCCCTTTTTTTAAAACTGAATCCCCTTTTTTACCTAATATTGCATAAAGAAATTACTATGTGATTCCTACTTAATTTAAGTAATTAATTATTGAATTGGTAAACGAATCTGCACATTTTAATTTGTAGACATCTACTAATTCGAAAGAGTGTCCTATTTATTCTTAGGGAAGGTTAACGGACAAAAACGTTAACAATAAAAATAAATAAGTAAAACTACAATAAAAGTAAACTACAATAATAAATAAACAATAAATAACCACACTAAAAGTTGACAATAAAACTATTGTTATTTGTACTATTTGTAAATTACAGTAAACCTACAATTGCCTTGTACTTGAAGTTGCTCCAAAACAATGGAGTCAACAATAATTTTATTGTTTAGAAGCAACTGCAAGGTAATAGGCATTTGTGGTTTTACTGTACCATAAAATTTCGTT